GCTCCGTCGCGAGACGAAGCGAGAGGAGGATGACGTCGAGTACGGCGAGACGAACTCTCGACTTTCCAGGATGTCTCCGCTCTCGCCGAAGTAATCGGACGAAAGGCGATGGAGGCGTGCACCCGAGGCGTGCGCGGGCCGATACGTTCTCCGCGGACTTTCCGCCCCATTCCTCGTTCGGATTCGAACCTACGAGCGAATGTTTCTGCGAAAGTAGAAGTGAAAAAGGGAGAGGAATGCTTTCCGGTCGCGTAGGTGTCGGTGCCGGCCGGGTGCCTGCTTCCATTCGAATTTCCGTTCCGTCCCGAGATGAATCTACAAAAACTCGAAGCAATCTCCCTCCGTCGATGCATTTGGATTCGTCGCTCGTCGGTGGCGCGTGGAAAGTGACCCTTGGAAGGTGGGTGGCCCTTGAAAGGTGACCCTTGGACGACGGCCCCGACCGTGTGCACAGTGAGAGTGGGAGTGCGTTTCGCTCGCTCTCTCGTCCGTATTTAATGAATCGTTTTGAGAAATTCACGACTCATCGCCTTTCCTTCGCGAAACAAATTAGGTCGAAACTTCGCATGCGTGTTGACAGCATAGACTGCGCACTTCGGAAAGTATCACCGATGAGAACGAAAGTAAATAGATTCCAGGACCGAGGAGAAGAGGATGTGGGAAGGTGGGGTCGGTTTGAAGGGAGTGGAAGGCCCATGTTCCATTCCCTTTCGAACCAAAGAGATGAGGGCGACAAAAGGCCCCCCACGAGGGTGAGTCTTTTTCTCGGCCTCATCTCGCCAATTATTTTGAATCGCCGAAGAGAAGATGCCTTTTGTTTTCGCTCGCTCGAAGTCGGAGCGGCGACGGAGGGCCACCGGCGGCCACCGCGCTTTCGTCCCGGTGAAAATGAGAACGGACGTAACCGTGTGTTCCGAGAGGACTTTTTTTCCCCCCGGAAAGCATTTCGTCAGGGGGAAGAAGCAAGGTAGAAGAGGTGTAGTAGCGAGTCCGAAGGAATAATGCAACGTCACGCGGACGAGTCGGATGCGTCCGTCCCCTTCGCGGCTACCGTTCGTCTCCCTCTGCATACATGCTCCCCCGTGACTCGTGAGATTTCCGAGACTCGGAGGAGAAAGAGCGCGAAGTCGTCGTATCGTAGTGTGTACTTTTCATCCCGATGCGAGGAGTCCTCGACCTTGCCGGACGGGAAAGGCGTTCGAGAATCGAGATCCCCCTCGAATCCGGAATCATCCTGATGCCGAATCCAGGCTCAGGGGGAGACACGGGACGAGCCAGATCCCAGATTCGGACGATTCCGGCTCTCCGGACGGCGCCCGTTCGTCGTCACTGCGAAGACGGTGGGAATGCATGCCCGCGAAAACGCTCGCAACGGTCCCGTTCGCGTCCCCCACCGACTCCATCCTCACGTGGAGTCGATGTGGGACGCGATGGAGCGATCCTGCAAGATGAATCTCGGCATTCGTCGCGGTCGACGGCGACGATCGAGTGCATTCCGCTCGGAGAGAGGAATCACGTCGTCCGTGAAGCCGAGAGCGCTGCGAAATGTTCTCGTGCGGCGATCTCTCGCGTTTCGTCGTCGTCGGTCGACCGTCGCCGTCCTCGTCGCGATCGAGCAACCTTTCGTGCGATCGTGCCGCCTCTTGTACGTAAATACCGCCGCTCGCTCGCGTCACGATGAAATGCGTTCGATTCGAAACGTTACTCTCGCGGACGAAATTTTCCTCTATCCCGTCGACACGGAGTTTCGCGTCTTTTTTTACGAAGAGAGATGCGAAATTACGGACGAGACCGGCGACAGCTTTTACCTTGATGTTTGAGGGCTCGTTTCAGACGAATCGACAAGCCAGGCGATCGCTCCGAGACAAGGGTTCATCCCGCACTTCGCGTCGTCGTTGCGATGCGAGGCAAGGGAGACGGTCCCAGCCGGTAAGACCCCTGTCCCCTCTGCCCCCTCTGTCCCCTCTGCCCCCTCTGTCCCCTCTGCCCCCTCTGTCCCCTCTGTCCCCTCTGTCCCCTCTGTCCCTTCTCCTCTCCTCTCCTCACCACCGGTCGAGAGAGTGAGACGGAAGTGAGATGGAGCGCGAAATGGAGCTTTCCCGATGGAGCGCGAAACCGTTGGACCGTGGTGCCCGATTTATCGTGATTTTCCGACAGCACGATTGACGATGAAAAGTCGTCAGGCGGAGAAGGAAACCTCTCGAGAACCGGATGAATTATATGCGAAATAAATGACGATGTGGGCCGCTGATAACGTCCTCTACTCCCATATATCAAGTTTATGCCGGTGGAAAATTCCTGGCATTACAATTCTCTCGCCCGATTCCCGTACTTTTTCCTTTTCCTTTGCCCGAGAGTCCGAGGCGTTGTTTTTCTCCCTCGAACCACTCGGAAATGAATAAAAAATTAGCGGGCGACGGGAGTGACTTTCCCACGACCGTCGGCGTCGAGGTCGCGAAGGTCGAGATTATTACGAGGACCTTCCGCGATCAAACCCTTAATGAGTCCGCGGGAGGGAAAGTGAGACCCGAACGAATCAGCATGCATCGAGGTCGTTTCTATGCGCATGCGTGAATTCATGGCTCCCCCGACCCTTGACCGAGTGCCGACGATCATCGTTTCGCTTTATTATTTTGAGGGAGCCTTCGACGATGAAAGGAAACCCTCCTACGCTTCTCCGTGCAAACAAAAGAAACAGACGCTTCGAGCTCCGTCTATACTTTTCCCAACGAGAGATAAATTGACTTATTTGCGTAGTATATGACATTATTAGAGCGATCCATAATCTGTACCAGTGCGTGTATATCACTCTCCGCAAGACGTAACATTATCTTCGACAAACCTCTCTTTCGGAGAGAAAGTTCCACACGAAAAGAATCCCAAAAAGAAAGGAAATCTGACCTCTTTCGCCTCCTTCATCGAAGAAAGGGACGGAAATTGAACACTTTATGGACCCTAATTGGCCCTTCAGCGTATATTTCCTTCCAATTTCTGGGAATTTAAACAATTTTTCCACGAATATAATGTATTTTATATACAGTTATCCGTGGGTTCAAAAGCGAATTCTTTTACATTTTGATTAGCTTGTAAGGAAAAAGGTTTCAAGTTCCAAACATATCTGCCCTCGCCCGTTTGCGTCACAAAAATACCTTGCCCGAATAAGGGTGAAAGAAAATGTGATGGCATTTTTAAATCCCTCATTTTTATCTCTACGGTCGAAGGGGCACGGCGGGTTTCGGAGCATAAAAGGGAACACGTTCGAGTTTCTCGCACTGAACACACGAGGAGCGCTTTTCTAGGTCCTCATCTGCATGACTTTTCTACGACCGAGACCGCTACTTTTCATCCGCTCTCTCCTCTCTCTCGGCAGTTATGGAGGGTGGTTGCGGTCATATACCTCCTCGGGCTGCACGCCCAGGTTGAAAGCCAAAACGTGGACATCGACGTCAACTTCATCCCTATCACGTGAGTCTCGGATTCTCTCCTTCCTTCGGATCGCGCCGCGATATCTCGATCGAGTCGCAAACCGGCGAGATTCTGGCGATTTGCCGTCGGGCGGTTTCCCGTCACGCGTTCGTTCGAGTGCGAACTCGCGAATCTCCGAATGCGTACCCGTACTTCGCCTTACAAAAACGCACGGCGGACTCGAATTTCCGCGGGATGACCATGGAACGAAGTGGATGAAAAAAGGAAAGGAGTGCCTTTTTTTGGTTGCGGTACGGTTGCGGTACGAAGCGATAATTCGCGGTCTTTCTTTTCATTATTTTCGGCTTTCTTCTCGAGTGACGTATGGATTAAGAAACTTTTAAACCGCGATGCTGGAACGTCACGAGATGATGGATGGAGTTCTCGTCTTCTCTCTCTCGAATGAGATCCATCTTGCAACCGTGTCGAAAGTCGTACGCACGACGCGTCTTCATTTTCCTTCATTTTTAAAGTTCCGGTACGACGGGAAAAAACGTGCGTCGAGTGGTGTTTCTCGATGCAACGAGGTCTCCCGAAGAGATTTTTTTCTCTCGACCTTCGCTCGCCGGAGGGAAAAAGAAAAAGAAAAGGGGGATGCCGATGATGAAGCATGACTTCGGGGCGTGTGCAGCGGGGAGTCCTCGGGAGGCCCGGACGGCAACCGTTTCCTCCCGTCACAACAGTAATCTTAGATCGTATCCCGTTCCCTCCGTCTCGATCGGTATGCTAACGTCGAATGCATGGTAGCCACTACACTAATGACGTGTAGAGCAATGGAAGAAGCAGGAGCACGCCCGGGCACGACTCGAGTGAGATAGCAATCGCGAGCGGGAACGATTTCCCCCTCCCCCCTTCTCCGCGCAAGAAAGGGCAGTCGACGTTCGTGGGTATCGTGGGTGAGGGTCGAGAAAGAATATCGCTTACGCACGCGGTCGGCTGCCGTGTGGATCGACTCGTGCCGCGGCGGGCGTGTCCCGGTTACCGCTTCCGTCACGGTATCATCACGTACCGTTCTCGAGTTCTCATACCTCGTCCCCGGGACTCCGATCTGAATTTTTTTTTCCCTCCCCGGTTCGGATTCATTACGAGCAATCATTTTCTCGTTAAGAGAAAATGCCATCACTTCACTGCTTTCCGCCCGAATGCCACGACAGATATCCACACTCGTCACTTCGAGACGCGATTCGGCTTTCTTTGGCCTGGAAATCCCACCGTCGCTTAAAATTTCCCCTTAACGACGCCACGACGATGACGTTCCCACCTCGTTTTCGCAGTTTGTGGGGACCAGATAATGATCCTAATTCCGAGCGTGATTGATTCCCGGTTGCGTTAACGACTTCGCGAACGAAAGAAAAGTTCTTTTCTGGAAAATCAATTACCATACGTGTGGGGAGAAAAATCACCTCGAAGCGCCGGAAAAGGAAAGGAAAGGAGATCGGGGGCGAGCCGATGGTATTCATCGAAACGTAATACTCTTTATACTTGCCCCCGACTCGAACCCGGATGAATGACTTTTGTGCTTCAGTCTCCGATGAATGAAAGTCTTTTGACTGTGGTCTTCTTTCTCTCCAGCGTCGTGGTCGTTTCCCCCGTCACCATCGGATTGCTTGCCGGTCTCATCGCTTGGAAAGCGGTCAAGTGGGTTCGACCTCGATCGTCCTTCCGTCCGTCTTTCGCGTTCTTTCCGTTTCATTCGGAATCTCCGTGTTTTCAGGAAAGGGCGATTCCGAACGAAAGGATCCTTCCAACTGGAATACGAGCCGGCGAAGGTGGCCGTGACGACGACGAAGAAGAAGGACGGAGAAGCGGCGAAGAAAAACGACGAGATCCCTCGTCGAGAGGGAACACAGAGACCGAAGAAGACCGAAGAGAAGAAGGAAGCGGGATACGGTTCCAAGGAGACCGACTCTAGACCCCGAAGGGACGGCAAGAAGTTCTTCCTCTTCGGTCAGGATCTGGTGGCGGAAGACAGCAATCCGGTTCCGTACCGACTGCAACGAGAGGAGAACAAAATAGTGCTCGTCGACAAAGATTCGGCAGATGGAGAGAAGAAGCGGATCCCGGTCAAGTTGGAATATCTCACCGTCCCTCTTTACCCTCCTCCCCTGTGGAATCGATACGTCGTGGACGCTTACTCCTGGTTTTACGTGAAAGATCCGAATTCTCGCCACTTATCATCCCCGCCTTTCCGGGTGTCGCGCCCCTTTCTCCGGCAATCTTCTTCTCGACGCCCATCGTCTCCTCCACACCGGGTAACGACACCTTCTTTCCGAGTGACGACTCCCTCTCCCCGCGTATCGTCCCCTTCTTTCCTGGTAACGACTCCTTCTCCCCTGGTATCGTCTGCTCCTCAGCCGATGGAACTCGATCACAGTGGATGGACTCCCATCCCTTGACGATTCGTCCTCGATCCCATCCGTCATCCAACCCGTCTCTTTCGTCCGTCCCTTCGGTTACCCGTTTTTAATCGAAAACCAGCGGCGTTAACCCGGAGAAGCCCAAAGTTCGATGCAGCATCGCCTTGGAATCATCATCGTCATCTCTGCCATTCCGACAATCGCATCGTGCTCACGAATCCATGTTCATTCGGTGGATATCGAACTGCATTGTCCGACTCTCGCATTGTGATAATACTTCTGGTCTGCTCTTGTTACCATTGTTATTGTTGATGTTATTGCAGTTGCGTCGTTCGCAAATCTTCCCGTTGATGCCTTCGATGAAGTTGCTAATTTTATCGTTGTTGGCTTTAAGTCGACTGAACTTGTTTATCGCTGTTACGATTTTCTGGTGTTATTTCTGAACGACGAATGCAAACGTGCCTCGTTCGGGACGACGAGCCGACCGGCCTGGGGCCTCCGAAGAGGCTTGCGGAATCGGTAGAAGTACGATTCGCCCCGAAGCCTCGAGACGTCGGGCCTCCGAGTAAAAATCGGGATGCGCACGACGAGTCCGCCGTTCGGCGAGGCAAGGTCTAGGAAATACGGATGTTGCACGCGTTAAAATTCGCTCGTTCCATTCGTGGGTAAAGACGAACCGTGGCCTGCTCTTAAGGCTTCTTACAGCAGCGCTTCCCGACCTTTTTTTTTTCTCTACCTTTGTCGCGGCACGGTGATGTGCCGCGTCGCACCAATTGCGAAGCACAGGACAGTGTCCTGCCCGAGGGACTTGGAGCTCGGTGACGGTGCCCGAGTGAAGCAGGAACTCTCCTGGTAACGGTGCTTGTGCCGAGCAGGCACTCCCATCCTCTCTCGGTCTCATAAAACGGCCTTTGTTATATGGGTCCTCTGCAGGTCTTGCCTGAAAAAAAAAACTTGCGTTCGTCTTACCAAGGAACATTCGATGATGACACTCCATCGAGGCGCAGTGGAGGTGCTCCATAGAGCACGGAGCAGTCAACCGACGGGGAACTCATCATCGAAGAAAAATATTAGATTCGACCCAACATCGAAGTACAACCTGGCCACCAGATCGAGAGACACCGACCGTATGTTTCTCGTTACGTCACACGGGTAGTTTTCTTGCCATGCTTCATCGCGCGTGCGAGTCGTTTGCCAACCATTACTCCGACTCCATCGTTTTCAGCACGAAGAAATACTTTCCTGCGTTCCACATAGGATTATGCAACTCATCCTCGTCTACTTTACCTGATTTTTTAATTTTCTTTTCCTCTCCGTTCTGGACGATCCGCAACGGGCAAGAGGTCTCGGAATCGCTTGTTTCCTGCAATCTCACATCCCTCGTCATCAAAATAGTCGATGTGGGAGAACGTAAATGATCGATCTAATTTCGCCTCGCTTTCGTATCCTTTCATTCGGTTCCACTTTATTTTTGCAAGCGAGTAGATGAGAGCTGGAAATGAAGAATGGTAAACGAGCGGGTAATTAATGATCGTTGGTATGGACGACGTCTGGAAGCGTGCCAACGTTCGGCGTAACGATCGAGAGATGAAGCAATGAGAGAAAACAATCGCGAGGAGAGTAAATTGACTTTTAAATACGAACGTGCGAGCCCGAAGGATATCACGAAGCAATTACGAGATATCTAGAGGGGTTTTCGTCTCGGACGAGATTTCTCACAGCCAGGAACGAGACGAGTCGCCGTTTTCCGGGGAAAACCCGCGAAGGCCGAGGCTTCCCGCACTTTCACGTTCTTTTGCATCTGGCACCGATCGAGAGGCCATCTGTTACCCGTCAGAGCCAAAAGGGAAAGGGGGAGAAAAAGTGGGAACGGGGAGGCGCGACGATGGGAGGCAGACAATGAAGGTTCTCTCCACAATGAAGGTTGCCTCCACAATGAATCCGAGGTTATCGTGTCACTTTCCTCGACCGAGGCCGAACGAAGTCCCGCGCCGCAAACGTCGGATCGCATAAATCTAACGACCGCAGGTTTCGCTCTCTCTAGGAGTCTCGCGTCACGGGGGTGCCGAATTCCGCAAGGGGACCTATTCGTTTCGCTATCGGCTTCGTTCGCGATCCTATCGCGGCGCCGGCTCGCACGACGTGGGCCTGCGGTTCTTCTCGGAGCGACGATCGACGTCTGCCCTTTCGTCGGATCGACGTCGAAATTCCCGCGAAGCGACGGAGCCGGAAACGAAGCGAAACCGTTCTTCGACGGGAAGGAGCGAGAAAGACCGTCGGACGAGGCGGTCGGCGGCTTCGCATCGGCCCGCGTTCTCGTTTCGCCGTCGGACCCGAAACGCGAGCGCTTCCCCCTCTGCGACCCGGAGCCCCGACTCCCAGAGATGTCGTTCCCGTCGGGAAGAGAAGGCGTCACGATGGAAGAGAAGGCGTCACGCGATGAAAATGGCAGATGCGTCTGACTCGATGCTCGGGAAGCGACGGGAAACGCAGTGACTCCGCCGGTCTCGATGGGACGCGATCACGATCCTCTCGAAGGGAGGAAGGATTCCTCACTTTTTCGCCCTCCCTCTTCGCGAGACATCCTCGCCGGAAAAGGACAAGCGCGAAACTCTCGAGCGGCGGGACAGAAATCTCATCAAATCTTCCTTCGGCTCTGGCTTTTCGACGAATGCAGACAAGGAACAATGGCGATCCCCTCTTTTTCCTGTATGCGACGATTACAGGCACGACGCTGGACTTCCCGAGAGAAATCGACGAAGCTTTAGATATGCAAAAAGGATCGCATAAAAACAACTGTAAGTGAAAGAGATAAGAAGGAACCGGTCGAAACGAGCATTTAATGCGCTCGGGTTTCAAAACGGAGAGAGAAACGAAGTTGCGAAATCGAAATCGCGTTTCGAGTCCCCGGTGGGCCGTACGCGAATGCGGTCGTGATCCACCAGAGAAAGCGTGCGGGAAAATAAAAGGATCTTCTGACGTCCGCTCGACGGTCCGGCCGCGGAGGTTTCGTACCGCGAAAGTTCCAGCGGGAAAGGGATTCCCGGGAACGGCGAACGGCAAACGACGGAAAGATCCACGATCGCGTTTCCGCGCTCTCGGAGCGAGTCGTGAGGCGCGACGAGATCGGTGACGAAGCGAGATGTGCGACGCGTGAACGCGGGGAAAGAGTGACGACTCGGACGCTCCCCGCGAAGCCGCAAAAAAAAACTCCAAGTGGAAACGGATTTCCGAACGGAATCGATTCGGACCCTTTCGGTCGTGGACGATCGGTTCCCTCGGGGGACAACTCGCTTCGTGCATCATCTCGTTCGAGTGATGCATGTCGGAAAGGCACGCCTATCGCGGCTTTCACGCACTCGAAACGGGTCATCAAAGGGAGAAACGACTCACGGCGTCGGAAGCGTCCCCGACGAGAGCGCCACGATGCCGAGCACAAGCGACGTTCCCCGCGAAGTTCTCTCTCCCTTCTCGTTCCGTTCCCGTTCCCACCGGAACGATGCGATCTCGATCGGCACCTCGTCGTCGTCGGATGCCGTCGAGGACGACTTGCGGCACGCGAGAGGGAGTCGATCGAAAGCTTTCCTCGGCTTCCAAAGATCGCTTAGAGTGCTCGGTGACGTTCGCGAGTCGGTCCCTGCCTCCTTCCGGGTCCGCTCCGTCGCGTTCGAAGACGGCGACGAGATCTCGCGAGACCATCCGGGGGCACCGAGATTCCACGTTCCAGGCTCCCGAGAAGTACCGGGGGCTCGAGTAAGTACGGGGAGCACGAATGGAAATGCTTCGGGGTGTGTCCCCGATATAAACACCGGGAGTGGAGCCCGAGAGGCCATCCTCATCTTCATCCTCATCCCCATCTTCATCCTCATCCCCATCCCCATCTCCATCTCCATCTCCAACGTCTAACTTGCATCCACCCCGCTAGATTAAATATTTATCGTGAAATGACGTCAATGAACTGCCTTCTTAAAGCCATTGTTTACGGGAACGGGCAAATGTTTTTTTTTGTGTTGTAATGAGTATGCAGCACTCGCTACCTTCTCTCTCTCTCTCTCTCTCTCTCTCCGCTCCGGTGATCGAATTCGAAGTACAGCAGAAAACGTTCCGAATGGACTCGAGCATTTTTCACCCGTTCCTCGGACGAAGATGCCTCGTCACGCGATCCCAGAATCCCATCGATAAACGACACGGAGAGATTCTCGTTCGGGAAACGAAACGCGAATTCACCCGCACCCGTAGAGAATCCTTTCGTCTCGCGAGTTTTTTTTTTTCTCTCGCTCGTTTCTGGAAGCGCGGATTCGCAACGATCGAAACGAACCGCCGCAGGAAACGACCATCGTTTCTTGGATCCCTCGAGGATGATAGCAAGGATGGAAATTTACTCGCCCTGCGCCCAAACGAATATCTTCCTGATAGATGAAACGTCGTAGAAATTCGTCGGGCCGTGGCAAGGCGACGAGCAACGATTTAAAGCGAGTCGGATGCTGGAAACGGAAAAGATTTGATGGCGATAGGGAAGTGGAGGATGCGGAAAGTGAACTCGTAGTACTCTGACTTGAAGATTTTACATGGGTCTACGTGGGAAAAGGAGGTGGGCGAACGTGCGGACTCCGAAGCGGCTCCAGTCCACTGTCCGTTTTTTTCCCCGATTTCCGACGAACGCCGATCCTCTCGTTTCCCCGAGACTAATTTTGATGGAACTTCGACTTTCTATAGGGAACGTTTCGTGTGACTTTCGCGAAATTAGCTCCAGAGAGAAGATAGACACGATTTGGAAGTCGGCCGTCTTCGGTGTTTATTCTCGGCCCGCCCTCCGATTCTCCTTGGGTTCGTCTCCGCCCGTTCGCTCGTCGCTCCATCTTCTCGGGACTCGGGGTCGCGACTCCAACACCGCATGGAGTCCCCCCCCCCCCTCTCCCCCCCCCAATCATCCGCCGGCACGTCTTCATTCGTTCCATCTGGAATCCGTCATCGAGGGAACGGGAGAGCAGAGAAAGAAACGAAGGAAAGGAATGCACCTCGAGGTCGGTCGGTCGGCCTCATTCCGATCAAAATTACGGGGTCTGCGCAGATGATGAAGGCGACAGGCACGAGCCCGTTCCACGGCCTCTCCCATCTTTTATTGCCCGATCCCGTGGAATCACGCGCTCTGCACCGCACCTTCCGCTTCGACTGCACGTTCTTGCTGCGGTCCAAAATCCTTTTTAAAACAAAAGAGATGCTTCTCGGAGGGAGCACGAAGCGCTCTTTTCGGAGCCCACTCGCTCCATCGCGTCGGAGTCTTAAATTAGACTCATTTCTCTCACGACACCCTTGTCGAAATGAATCATCTTTAATGCTTGTGGTCGAA